GTTAGTCTTGCTTTTATGTTTTCTAAGCTTTTATATTTTACATTCTTTCACATTTATTTGACCTTCAAAGTGTTCCATAAGATTGCTTTTATTTAACTTTCAGATATACACATTCTGGAACCTCCTGCCCTAGAATTTATTTTTTTTTAGCCGATGAATAATTTTATATGTGCTTCTTCAATTAACCTACATTCACAAGTACTGTGTGCATATGCATGTGTGTATATGTGTGGTGTTTGAAACATTGTGGAGTTTACAAATGACTCAGATTTTATTTTACAAAGCCTTTCTGATAATATGTTTATGTCATCAAAAATGCTAAAATTGCAATCATAGTTGGCACAGAGATTTTATTTTAAATGAAGGATTATGACATAAAATATAAGTAACATGGTGTCCCAGTAGATAATTATTCATTTTTCTAACCAAATATTTGAAAATATTTGATAAAAACATGCATTGTACTATTATGTCCTTTAGTTCTATCATTCCTAAGTTAAGTTAAGAAAGAAACTGGAGGGAAAAACAGAAATGGACTATTTTCCCTCCAATTTCCAATGATAGAACTAAAGGACATAATAGTAAGAGCATTTCTGTTTCTTAGAGGATGCCTAACATAGCCAAGCACTGATGGCTCATGCCTATAATCCTAGCTACTCAGGAGGCTGAGATCTGAGGAGATCTTCCACTCTAGGTAGACAAATCTGAGAGACTCTTATCTCTAGTAAACCGTCAAGAAACACACATGGAAGTATAGTTTAAGTGGTAGAGATCCAGCCTTAAGAGCAAATGCTAAGAGAAATTGAGAAGCCCTGAGTTCAAATCCCAGAACCAGCACCCCCCCCCCAAAATAGAGAAATAGAGAATAGAAAAAATAGAGAATGCCCAACATAGAACCCAGTGCCTAACATAGAACCAATATTTAGTTAAACAGACCACGTGTTTTATGCAATAATGTTTTAAATGACTCATAAAAGGAAGAAAGTGAATTCTGCCTACTCTGCCCACATGATTGAAATGCAATCTTCAAGATACTTATGGCAAAGAGCCCACTCCAGAACAGTTCTATTAAAATATAAACTCATTGTGCAGGCTATAGAAGAGTGCTATTATAAATCGTGATAAACCCTGAAACAAGACAATGGCAAAACAGGTAATACAGATTACGTAATGAAACAGTCCTCATCAAATGATGATAGTAGTATCTTTTCTTAATAAATTCACAGGAAGTGTTTATATTATTGTACTCAAAATAGCTCATTCCATTCTACCAACTTTGTTCATGAATCTAAAAGTTAACTTTTTCAAAAGCAGGCAGTAAGAAAATACAATTTTTTTAAACCAGTTGCTTGTTTGTTTCTCCTAAGTTTTTAAATAAAGTATCCTCATGCAGACAACAGCAGTCCGCTCTGATCCAAGTGAAGGTTACTGGAGTCCCATGTTAGAAGTTGGGAAATGCTGCCTTTGCAAATGAAAAATAAAATGAGTCAGAAATATATGAAAAACTTTCTCCCAACTGAATGCATCTTGTTCTCCATAATCAAAGGCATTGTGTCTATCCATTTACTTAAGTGAAATTACATTTGTGGCACCAGAAATCCACCCTGAAGCCAAGTTGAGGCAGGAAAGAAGAAAAACTTAAAATTGCATTTCTCAGAGGATAGATTGGGAAAGCAGAACTGCAGCAGACTGCCTCCGCTTGTCGGTCCTCGAGAGGACTACAATTCCATTCCAATAGACACTCTCCATTGGCTTGCCAAGAGTGGATGTAAAAGGCAGGACATCCTCTTTGCTCCAAATTAGGGAGCTCCAAGGAGAGAACACCAGCAGGTTGTATAGGAAGAAATTCTGAAGGTGATGTAGGGCAGTATTGGGAATACACTGCCATCCAAATCCTAGACTTTCTATTTGTCATCACAGTTTGCCAGTGTGAAAAATTGCTTAACCCTCTCTGTCCCACAGTTTCCTTGCTGACATCATGTGGGTAATTGTTGTAGTTGCTTATTTGGGTTAATGAGGTGCTTCTGATATAGGCAACAGATTGTGGCCATATTGGTGACAGTGGTGATAACAATAATAATATGACACAGATGATTGTTGTGGCCCTTCTGTTGATCCTTACCAAGCCTGGGAAACCATCAGACTTGAATAACCTAAAAAAAGAATGGAGTTTTCATGACTGAATTTCCTAATTCTTCTAGAACACTGCTTTGAAATTTTATTTGTGGTTGGTTTTAAAATTCTGGCACTCTACAATGATCTACTACCTAGAATTGAGGAGGGATCTAGGGAAAGCATGAAATTAGCTTCACAGAAAATGTAAAGAAACATTAACTGGAGAATTAAGATTTAAGAAAATGACAATAATAGTTTTTAAGAGCATAAGATTTAGACCTAAAAATGTTTCCCTTTTGAGCTGGATGCTGTTGGTGGCTCCCACCTGCAACCCCAGATACTCAGGAGGCTGAGATTCGGAGGACTGTGGCTAGCAGCCAGTCCAAGCAAAAAAGATCTCTGAAGCCAGGCGCCGGTGGCTCACGCCTGTAATCCTAGCTACTCAGGAGGCTGAGATCTGAGGATCATGGTTCAAAGCCAGCCCAGGCAAGGAAAGTCTGCGAGACTCATCTCCAATAAACCACTAAAAAACCTGAAGTGGCGCTGTGGCTCAAGCAGTAGAGCGCCTCCCTTGAGCTGAAGAGCTGAGAGATAGCGCCCAAGCCCAGAGTTCAAGCCCTACGACCGACCAAAAAAAACCAAAAACAAAAAGATCTCTGAGACTCCAGCTCCAAAATAATCATAAAAAATAATAATCAAAATAACCATGATTGAGACATGGGTAAAATGGTAGAACATCAGCTGTGAGCAAACAAAACAAGCATGAGGCCCTGACTTCAAACCCCAGCACAAAATTTTCCTTTGAAGATCAAGTTAGTTTTATAAAATTACTAGAGTATTATATGCTCATTATTTAACTTATAATACTCTGTGGAGAGATTGCAACCCATGAAAAAAAGAATGTTAGTAACTCATTCAGATAACATTTTGTTGTTGGTGGCGGTGGTCGTGGGCCTTGAACTCAGAGCCTGGGTGCTGTCCCTGAGCTCTGAGCTCTTTTGCCCAAGGCTATGCTTCACTAGTGCCACTTCCAGTTTTTGAGTGGTTAATTGGAAATAAGAGTCAAGAGTCTCATAGGGCCTTTTCTGCCTGGGCTGACTTCAAACTGTAGTCCTCAGATCTCAGCCTCCTGAGTAGCTAGGATTACAGATGTGAGCCACCGGTGCCAGGCCAGACAGCATTTTTGAAACATCCCCATTACCAGATGCCATCCTCAAGGCAAACACACAGAAAAGAACAGTAACAGTACTTTTTCTCAATTCATGGATGAGCCAGCAAGGCTAACAACATACAACAGGCTAGTGGAGTGCTATGTGGTTTGAGCCATGATTCCTGCAGCTGCGTGAGGGAGGGACACTTGAGAGAGGAGCAAGAGAGGAGAGGCTTTCCAAAACAGAAAATGCCATACCTGACCCACGAATGGAAGGGATTCAGGGAAAAGGGTATTAAAACAAAAGAAACAGCCTGTTCTGGGTAGGTAAATGTGACAGTCGGTGGAAGATTTGGGGAGCAAGTTGTCCCAGGATTATGGGGATGGGAGCAGCATAGATCAGATTATGACGATTGTTTTCATGTTGAGGTTTGAATTTCACCAGAAAAACAATGAGAAAGTATTTTTTTAAAAAACAAACAACAAATCCCAAAACCAGTGAGACTCAAAATTTTTATTCTCTTTAATATCAGATACCTTGGTATAACATCTGAAAATAGAATGTGAGAAAAAAATCTCCAGACTCTAGTTCTAGCTGTAGAGCTGACAAAAATCTCAATTTCCTCATGTGTAAAACGGAGATCGTTAGAGGGCTATTGTAAGAAGTATACAAATTCAGTCCCATGAAGCATTTTTTACAGTGTCTGGAACATTGCAAATAGTAAGGGTTAGGTGGCATCATCATGATGATGATGTATCTCTGTATCAGAGAAAATGACTTAAAATGTGAAGGGTTCATTTTAACATCTGGGGTGAAGAATGGTTTTCCAGTGTTGCCAAATCTATGTGGCTTAATCAAGTCCTTTTAAGAGAACTACTTTGTCAGCAACATGGTTAAAAAAATTATGTTAGCAAAAATGCATTGATTTTATACTTGAGAGGAAATTTTCTGCTGATACGGTTGTCCAAGACAATGTAAGAAACACAAACTTAAGTTTCATTGGTTGAGAGCAGCATCCAGGAAAGAGCTATGTGCTTGATTCATTTCTTTTAAGTAGAACAGGAACACATCAAGGCCAAAGATAGAAATTGGGAATCCAAATTGACTTTTTTGCCTCCTTCTTTTGACTGGAAAGTCCTTAAGGACAGAGTGTACTATGTTTTTAATTTGTTATAGTACTGTAACTCATTGCTAATAAAATGCTTTTCTATCCTTATAATTAGAGGAATTTTTTATATTGACATGTTTTTTTCATTGTGCCAAATGGGAAATTTGAAATATAAGTTAGAAACTTCAGTTTCATTATATTCAAAATTAGGTTTAGATTAGATGTACTCTCTGTATGACACTATTCAAAAAGTGGACTAGGAGCTGATCTACTGAGGCCACAAATGAGAAGCTGGTGCCTAAGGGTGTCCCTATAAACCAGCTGTGCTCTTTGGCTTGTTTTGGACTGCTCCATGGTTGGAATACTATTCAGTATGCTTTCCTGTCTCAGGATCAGAATGCTGGCTCGGGATATGATGATAGATGGCATTGGGAGAACTGTGATGCATTGTGGTTACACATTCATGGCAACTGAGATGGACCCTCAATGCTAATCTACCCAAATCGTCCATACTGTCCCATCAGACCTAGCATGTGTGTTATAGTCAATGTTTCTGACAATGAAAGAACCATATTTCAATATTCTACAGAATAATAGGCCTACTTTTTGTGTTCTATTTTTGCTAGTGCTCCTATATCCCTCCCTGTAAGAGAGAAAATCAGAAGAACTTGGAAAGTGTCATGAATTGGCAACAGTACTGGAAAGATGAGATTGGTTCCCAGCCATTTACTTGCTATTTTAATCAATATCAAAGGTAAGTCAATATTTATATGTACATATTAATGTTTATGGCCAGTGTAGATTATTATTCTGGTGCTCATTTGACAAAAAATACTACTAGAGATCATCCTACTTCTTGTCCTTTCCTTCCTTCCTTCCTTCCTTCCTTCCTTCCTTCCTTCCTTCCTTCCTTCCTTCCTTCCTTCCTTCCTTCCTTCCTTCTTCCCTCCCTCCCTCCCCCCTCTCTTTTTGTGCCCACATCAGGACTTGAATTCAGGGCTTTGCATTCTTGCTCAGCTTTTTTGCTGGCACTCTACCACTTGAGCCATGTCTGCACTTCCAGCTTTTTGTTGATTAACTGGAAATAAGATTTTCAAGGATTTGTCTGCTCAAAAAGTCTGGCTCCTAACTGTGATTATCAGATCTTAGCCTCCTAAGTATCCAGTGTTTCAGGCATAAGCCCCAGTGCCCGGTATCTCCACTTTTCTAGCATGTAGAAACTCCTTGCTCTACAGGATGGAAAGTATATAAAGAACATATAGGGTTTTTTTTTTTTAAAGAGAGAATGTGTATCAGAAACATTACTCACTGGATACAGTAAAAAATAATGCTTTTACATAGGAACATCATATATTAGTCATGTATTTGAGAGTTACAGATGAATTCACAGTGCACAGGTTTGTCAGCATTTTGGATTACATCAAATCTTAATCTTCCCTTTTTCTTCCCTGATGAAGGATCAGTGAAAAGAGTTCACACTGTTAAAACTTTATTTGACTTAGAAGGCATCAAATTATAGCATATAGACCATATCAGGAAGACTCCTTGACTGTAACCACCCAGTATAATCATAGTAATTTATTATTCAAACACTTACTTACTGAATATTCAAAACTCCTTGCTGTGCATCTCAATCTGGATGTTTCACAGTTACCCTAAACCACCCTTTCTTCCCATAATCTCTCTCTCTTAGTGGTACATAAATGCATTCATTTACCTAACCCAGAAACCTCTGAGGCATTCTTAATTCATTTTCACACTTTTAGCCATATAACCTGCATCCAGCATTATTTGGGTTTTACTTCTAGGAGGGTTCTTCTGTATCTTCCCACTGCCTCTGTGTATGTTCTGATTTGCATGATTTCTTAGCTCAGTTAGTATAGTAGTCTGACAAATCCACCATGCCCACCAAGACATTTTCCGTTCTGCCATCCAGACAATTTCTCATTCTTTCCAGAATATTTTGGTATGGCCAAGTGCCAAGTACCTATTGCTACATGGCAAACTACCCTAAATCTGGTGGCTCACTAAACAACAATGAACATTTCTTGCAGTTCTGTGAGTTGTCTGGGCTCATGCACAGTAAAGAAGGCTGAAATAGCCGCATGGTTCCAGGTAGTCTCTTTGCTCACAGCCCAGTCCCTGTTATTGGCTACTGGTGCTAATGGTAGGGCTCCTGTTCCCCTCTTTGTGTGGTCTCCCATTTTTCAGTGAGATAGATCACTTTCCTTATAGCATGCCAGCCTCTGAACAGCATTCAGAGGTGGGCCACATCTCTAGCATTAGATTAACATCAATCCTAACACATTTTATTAGTCAGCACAAGTCACAAAGCTAGTAGGATTCATGGCTTGTGGACAAAGGATTCATGGGCATATTTAATCTATGAGGTCTCCTCAAGATCTCATTCTGACTCTTACCTGCCCAGCCTAATCTGCTTGTTCATAGTTTGCAGTAGCCACTGACCTATATACAGGTGCCCAGGGGATCTACTACTTCATATCCATTTTTGACTACCTTGCTCTAAGACCTGCTGCAGATGCTGCCTGCTGGGCTGCTTTCCTCACCTGGTTCCTGTTGGTGAGAAACCCAACTGCCGTGGGTAGGCAGGAAAGCCTCACCCAGGGTGGTATTAAGAATTAGAAAATGTGCTGTTTATATATAAAGAAATGCATAGGCAGACAGACTGATGTCAGAGTAGTTTGATGACAGTTGAGGCAGCTGGAACCTACCTCTCTTGAGTATCTTTGCCTCAAGGCGGCTCCCTTTATAGCTGTGGGACTGTTTATGCAGTTCTGACTGTCACAGCCAAGCACACCAGCATGACTTGCCTGGTGTGTTGGGATTAGAAAACCTTTTTCTAACCTCTAGTGGTCAGCCTCCTGATGGATCCTTGTTTAAGAAGGACTACACCTAGACCTATGGCAGGAAAGAACAATCAGAATCTAACCCTGAGTTCAAGATGGGGCAGTGTTTACTCAGTCACTTGGAGGGAGCTACTCCTGAGTATATTTGAGATGGAAGAAGAAGGAGAACACAATGTTGTAGAACAGACAGAGTATCAGTGGTCAAGCATCTCCTTATCCCTTCATCTCTGCACAGCTGTCCCAGAGGTTTGACTGCTTGGCTTCATATAACGGTGCCAGCGGAACTTCTTTTTAAAAAAATCAAGCCAGGCAGCTCACCCCTGTAATCCTGGCTACTCAGGAGGCTGAGATCTGAAGATTGTAGTTCAAAGCCAGCCTGGGCAGGAAAGACTGTGAGACTCTTATCTCCAATTAACGATCAGAAACTCAGAAGTGGCACTGTGGTTCAAAGTGCTACCTTTGAGCAGAAAAGCTTAGGGTCAGTGCATAGGTCCTGAGTTCAAGCCCCATAACTGAAAAAAAACCATAGCTGGACACTGGTGGCTCATGCCTGTAATCCCAGCTATGCTGAGATCTGAGGATTGTGGTTCAAAGCCAGCCCATGCAGGGAAGTCTGTGAGGCTCTTATCTCCAATTAACCAACAGAAAACCAGAAGCGGAGCTGTGGCTCAATTAGTAGAGCACTAGCATTTAGCAAAAAGCTGAGGGATAGTGGCCAGACCTTAGGTTCAAGCCCCAGGAGCAGCATGCACATGTGTGTATACACGTGTGTGTGCGTGCACACACACATGCACACACACATACAACACAGAATCATTAACTAGTTGAATTAGAATATCTCAAATAGTCAACCCAGTAACAGCAGGTGAATGTTGTTCACTGGGAAAGACACCCTCTCAAGGACACTCTCCTCCAAACTCCTAGACCTGTCATTTGGGAGGTTTATGGAGGTCTCATTTAGTAGATGTGATAGATGTGTCTGGCCCCTTTCCCTCCCCACACGTCAGGGGACAGAGTTGAAGTTCTAAACATCCGATCACAAGGTTGATTTCTCTGGTCACCAGCTCCTATCCTCCAAGAGCCACCATTAGCATTAACTCAGGTAAGGTGGAAAGAGCTTACCATGAAAACCAAAAAGATGCTCCATTCACCTCTATTAATCAAGACAATATAAGGGTTTTAGAAGCACGGTACTAGAATTAGGGGCAGAGACCAACTATAATTTGTGTTAACATACACCTTGTGATAATTCTAATACAGTAACTTTAATCCCATCCCTCAGAAAAGATACACATTCACTATCTTTCATTTTTCCCATCCTAGCTAGAAGTGGGAGTGGTCTCACAACCTGGCAACATTAAGACATAAGTATTGGGAGTGGGGGTGGGGGGGCTGAACTCAGGACCTGGGTGCTGTCCTTTACCTTTTTTGCTCAGGGCTGGCTCTCTGTCACTTGTAACACCACTCTACTTTTGGCTTTGGGGGTGGTTAATTGGAAATAAGAGTCTCACTTTCCTGCCTAGCCTGGCTTTGAATTTCAGTCGTCAGAGCTTGGGTGCCTGAGTAGGTAGGATTACAGGTGTGAGCCACTGGTGCCTGGCTTACAAGACATGATTTTTAAGTGACTGGAGAAGCAAGAATTTAGAGTTTGGCTCTTTCATCCTGACATATGTGCAAGGAAACAAGGGTGCTTAGAGAGGGTGTGAAAAATGGCAGTTCCCTGGTGCTGTCTACTCTGAGTATACTTTTTACTACTGCTAAATATGAAATTAAAATACACTTACTGTATCGACTCCCAGATGCTCTTTGATAAGATGAACTTTATATTTAAAATAACCTTTAGATTTCATGCAAAGGCAGGAAATTAGAGAGATGAGTTACCAAGATGTTTCTCCATTTTCAAGGAAAAGAGGTTATATTCAAAAATCTAAGTCAAAGATGATCAGAGTCTGGGCTTTTCCTGGTCTCTCAACGAGCTGTCTTCAGAAGTAGAATTGGCAGTGGTTCCAGCTGCCACCAGAAACCCTAAACATCATGGTGGATCACGCCAAGTCAGTGCCCATGGGGTCACCTGTGTGACTTAGCCACAGATTGTATCCACCCATGGTCTTGTGGACATCTGGGTGAATAATAGTCAGAGCATACAATGCAATCTTACACACACACACACACACACACACACACACACACACACAAAATCTCTCTTCAAGTCAACAAATGTGACCATTGCACGGTGTCATCTCCTGAAATCACTGCTCTGCCATCACCCTGGTTCAGGGTAACATCTAGACTATTGACACTATCCTCAGTTGAGCTGTAGTTGGGTCTTTCTTTGCTCTATTATCCATAATTTCACTGGAGTTTGCATCACTTTATATAAGCCTTTATTTGATCTTGTCATCACCTTTGAATACGTTTTTCTGCCTTCTTCTTGTCCCCAGGATAGAAGATGGGCTTTTCTAACTCCATCTTCAAATGTTGTTACAGAGTTAAGTGTCACTTGTGGGGAAACAAACACAACAGCATGGGAAAAAGAAAACCAGCAGTTGTGGCTCAAGTGGTCATGAGCCAGTCTTGAGTGAAAAAAAAACAAGTAAGAGTGTGAGGCCCTAAGTTCAAGTCCCAGTACTAGCACCCAGTGAATGAATAAAATGCCACGAGGTTGATTTCTACATAATATATTTTAACCCAGGTGATGATAACTCACACCTGTAACCCTAAGTACTCTGGAGTCTGAGGATTGTGTTTCAAAGCCAGCCTGGGTAGACAAATTGGAGAGCCTCTTATTTCCACTTGATTACCAGAAATCTTGGAAGTCTAGGTGAAGCTCAAGTGGTAGAGTGCTAGTATTGAGCTAAAAAGCTAAGGGACAACACCCAGGCCCTAA